TATTCATGATTGTGATTTTGAGATGTTCTATTCCTAGTGTTATCAACTGAAGAAGTTATGGAAATAAATATGATTGAAAATCATTTTAATAGTCCAAATTTACAAATTATAAATTATTTGAGCATAATGTAATTGATTAAATCTGTAACTTGTTTGGATCATTCCGTTGTTGATTGAAATCGGATCAATCTTAATTGACATATATACATCTTGTGTGTTGTTATTATTATTATTTATTTTAACACATAGATATTAGCATAAGGAGGCACCAAATACATATGCGCCATACAAATCTTATTTGATATGTGTGAGGGCTGTGATACTGCCCGGGTGCCCAAACCGAAGCCAGTAGTTTCCTCAAGATGCCACACCCAGAGCCTTTGACCTGAAGGTCTAATCCACAAGGCAGATGCATTCACATGGTAGCCGGTGACCAATGACTGATTCATACGCCATTTGTTCCTGCAGGATACTGGAGCCCATGTGCACCATTGGTTTGGAATCAGGGTTTTCCAACTCACTAAATGGACTCTCCATGTCCACCAATCCGGTCAAAGCGCCGGACATTCGCTTTTATTACTCTCAATTTCGTAAACAACAACCCAACCACGACAAGGCAGTGAGTAGGACTTCCCTGGCAGAGGCTATATACGCGTGACATTGTGAGAGCATTTGGAGAGAGAGAACGGACTCTTCTCACTCTTGGCCGTACCAGGGCATTCGCGGGCTATCTTGTGTGTATTATCTCAAAATAGCCATCAGAACACAATTTTTACATGGAACAAGTATAATCTGGTTTGCAGTGTAATTCTAGATAGGCGTTTTGTCCCATTTTAGATTTATCATCAACTGGGTATCCCAGCATACCGGAATTAATGTCCATTACGAAATTAACATTAAGATAATTAAATTTCAGTTGAAACATCGACAACTGGATAATATGAACCGTTAAAAATTGAAATAAATTCAAATTCGTTGCACAAGTAACTATCTGAACTTAGTAGTTAAGTGGATAAGACGTTGGTGTTTGAAGTGAAGAATGCTGGGTTAGAATATCAGAGTGAATGCAAGTGCGTCTGACAGATGAATCCGATACAGGACGGAACGCTCATCCTGGATTTCACTACTAATCATATTCCATTCATTCTATGTAAACAGTATAATTGTATTAAAATGTATATACTCGATGTGTGTCACTTTTCTAAGTAAACGTAAAAACGTCTCTATTATAATCTAAACTTCTCAGTAAGATTTTCATTTGATTTCTCATAATATTAATATACTGTCTTATCTTTCTAAATGTGTAAAATAACTATCCTTCATATATATATATAACAGTTATTGTTGTCAATATCATCAATTATTCATCCTTAATGTTGCTATAATCATTTATTTATTTCTAGTTTTCTTGTTTATATAGTCTGAATCAGTTTATCAGAAGAAGAAAATTCTTTTCTCCCCTTTAGTAATCTCTTTGTCCAACTATATCTATATTTATATACTTTCTTTTAAGAACAATATGAATAACTACTATCTTTTTATTTAAGTAGGTTGTCTTTCTATTTTGTTGTCTACATGAATATCATATTTTTGTCCTCAGTTTCATTTTTTGTTGTTTATTGTTGATGTTGTTGTTTTTTGACTGAAATAGCCTCATTTCAATGGAGGTATGTATATATGCATATATATGTATGTACGTATCAAATATATATCAAATACTGTACTACTTCTTTTTAAATAGGCAGCTGCTTTAGTATAAGAAATGACATGGCCACTTGGTTGATAGTTTATATTTTTATATAAATAACTGTTTTCCGTCTTTCTCTCTCTTCTTCCTTCTATAGGTTAGTATTAAACTAAATATGAGTGTTTAGGACATTTTGACTGTGTGTAAATAAGCTGTATTATGCTATTATACTATTTCGGAGAGGTATTGTGAGATGTGTCAATATTTCTAATGCCACTTAAATTAGTATTGATCACTTCATATTATAAAGTATTAATTAATCTACTCCACTCATTTATTTCGTTGGAAGATTTTTGTCAGGAATAGTTTAAGTTAGTATGTTGTATTCATTAACGATTAATTTCAGTTGAAATATCATTGAAAACCATAAATTAATGGACAGTTTTTATCGTTCTAGTACGAAACTCTTAAGTAGTTTGTACCTATGACTATACCAGAGATTGAAATCAGGATGTTTAAGTCTTCCAGTCAAATCTCAACAATCACAATCATAGTGTACAATTATACAATTCTGACTTCAATCAATGTAACGCGATTGACTTCCAGCTCCAATGATGATAATTTTTTTCACTCCAGATATGTTTGAAATCCAATGATCATAACTTCTCATTAGAACTTCAGGAATTTTGTATTGATGAGTGTAAAACTTCAATTAATTGGCTTCTCAAAGTATACAGTTACTCAAGCAAAATACATTTGATTCACTAAAATAAAAGTCCAGTATTTTTCTATTTTAATAAAATCTGAATTCAAATGTAAACTTGACAACATTTTCATTTATATTACTCCAAATACTCTAGGTTGCATATGATTGATTAGCTGAATGAATGAATTATTCATTCATGGTAGGTTATACATTTAAAGCTGTTTTTTACAGATTGATTTGTTGATCACTTATTCCAAACTTTCTGAATGTATTATAAGCAAAGATGGATAATGACTAACAGTGGAATCCAGAACGCGCCTTTCATCCTATTCCGGACCTGTTAGTTGGATGTACCTGCATCTCAGAGTTGATGTTCACTCTGGAACTCGAACCCAGTACCGTTCGCTTCAAACATTATAGCGTTATCTATTTAACTACTTAGTTCTAATAACCATTTGCTTGTACAAGGGAGTTTGAAGCGAACATAAATTCTGAGTTGCAAGTACATCCCGTTGACGAGTTCGAAATAGGAAGAAACGCGCATTTTGGATTGCACTGTTAGCCACTATCCATATTTGCTTAAAAAGCTTGTGAATTAAGGCAATATCGAGGTATTACGCACAGTATGTACATATGCCAATAAGAGACTGATCAATTGCAGTCCTCAACGTCAATGGGAAGATTCAAGTAAAACAATACCGAGTGAATTTCTCTGAATGCATTGTTGATAAAATCAGGTCAATTTATGAGTCAGAATTCGAAACCCCTGTTTTTATATATATATATATATATATATATATATATATATATATATATATATATATATATATATATATATATATATATATATATATATATATATATATATATATACTCTGTTCTTGTATACTTTAATAATTGGTCTGTTTTAAGAATCAGGTCACCAATATGATAATCACATCAGTCACTTGGTCTTGTATATATCTGGTGATTTTATCATTTTTAAATTGAAACATTATAATATATGGTTGACATTTAAAACAATGAACAAAACTATTTCTTATCTCCATAGTCCATATGTTTGATTATTTGTAGTTGTATATTCGTTGAAATAAATAGTTGTAACATACTATTGATATATACTATTGATATATATATATCAGTTCAGATATTTTGTATTCATTTCTTATGTCATGTAAGTTGTTAAACGTTTTGTGCAACCAATAATCAGCTAAAGGCTAAATAATCATCTTTGTTTCACACGTTATCAAATTCAATTTAATCATGTAGTAAAACGTTTCACTTTTAAATTGGGCAAATTGATATCTAAAGTCGTTACACTTTCAATAATGAGACTGTACAGTTTATTATAATCTTTTGATTAACATAACGATGTTATGTGCATACTTCATCGGTTACTTGAAGTATTTCTAAATAATGAAATCGATCTGTAAAAATGCAAAGCTCAGAAGTGAAAAATCCCAACCAACACCAAATAGTCCATTCAGATGAACTACTCTCTTTAAACTCTGACAAATATGATATTGGTCATTTCTCAGAGAATAATCAATTGCAAATACCTCAGTCCATTTGGAAGTTATTCATGACCCGAATAACTTAGTGGTAACATATCAGACAACCAAGCTCTATGATATCGGTCCGAATTTTACTAGGAGTATCTGTCTCCTTATAGATCTAGATATACCATGCTAGCTAGCACAAATCTAAGAAAGAACCCTTCGGGTTTCCTGCCAACTACCTTCAACTACTTGACATTTATCGTGATTCGTCAGATGTAATACCTATATGGTCATAATTAAGAGCCTTAATTATTATTATTATTATTATTATTATTATTATTATTATTATTAATGGCTTTTCTTTTGAGTATACTTGAATTAATTTATTAATAAGAGATTTGTCTTTTTAGCTATTCATAGGAAGAGGTTAAAATTTAGAAGGAAATGCTTTTGACTATTGATCAATAATGTTGAATTATCTTTACTTTAATTTCATCCTTTTAAATGGTTTGACTAATATTATTATTGGTTAAAAGTTTCCTATCATTAAATCAATCAACCCAACTCATTTAGTTAGTTTTTCTATTATAGTTCAAAGTGATAAGAACTCTATATAAAGGATTGTATTTTTGCTAAATCATAGTCACTTTTCAACATCATAAGATTAAATGTTCTCTTCTAATATTCTTAGGAAACGAAACAGAAAGAACTAGTTCTGTCGTTGATTCGTTTTGTTCACTACGTCTAACCCCAATTTTTTATTATTTTATCAAGTGATAATAGTAAACAGTGAAACTTTATGATCTCGGCAGTGACAATGTACTTATAATATCATTAATCCACCAAATTTTGAAAGTCACACCATTGACTTCTAATATTAGTGGTTTAGGGTTTATGAGTTCTCTGCAAGACCTGAAGTTCCTAAGTTCATTGGCGAGGTTGTTAATGCACACTGTTGAGTAATACTATATCAGGACGAAACAATTGTTCAGTGCTTCTTGATTTTCAGTTTTTGATTAGTTACAGTTTGTTCATGATGTAAACTTTAAAATCCCGTCATATTTACAATCTTCTTTACTAATATTTTCTGGGTTTTTTTTCATCCTAGACACTGGTTATGGAGCATTATTTATATCCGATATCAGTGGTGCAATATTTAGTGAATCACTACGACATCATTTATACCCAAATCATGCACCTGTGACAGATTTCTATCGTGTAGCATCAATGCGTGGTACATATTTGGCTACACGTTTAAATCCAGATCGTACATTGTATACAGTGATTACACATGATCGTGGTGCAAGTTGGCATCCTTTAGGAACACCGACTAATGTTCAAGATACTTGTCAAAGTAAACCAGCGACATCAACGACATCGTCAACAACGACAACAACCACAGATGCGACGACAGAGGCAACAATAACAGAGACTACAGTTAATGATGCTACTATGTCTACTGTCAAGGTCAACATTAATCATAATAATAATACTATGGGTAATGTAGGTAATGAAGACATCAGTGATGTAATCAGTACATCTGATAACTCTTTGAGTTCGACAACAAATAATCCTTCAAGAGATCCCGTACAGACAAATATCGAGAATTCTACTCCAAGTGAAATATGGAGACCTGATCCAAATATGAGTGATTTATTGTCTACAGACCCATCATCAGTAAAGGTGGGATTGTAGATGATCTTTATATTCTCTTTTTGTTTATGCTCACTCAGCTGAAATAATCAGAATCGATTCGTTTTAAAACAGTTTGGTTTGTCCGTATACTTTTTTTTAGAAATTACACAAGGTTGACTAAAAATGACTATGATAAATATTTAAATAATTCATCATGTAATGGTTGTTTGAATCTTCCCATTGATATTTAGGACTTCAATTGATGAGTGTCTTATTGGCATATGTTCATCCTGTGTGGATGGCCTCGGTATTTTATTTAAGCCACAAACATTTTAAGTTGTCCTGAATATCAATGGGATAATTCAAACAGCCTATACAACTGAGTTAAAATCTACTCCATAGCACAAGTTAATGGCTAACTGGATTCAATAGCCAAGCAGATAACGCGATGACGTTCAAAGAGAGAAGCACTGGACTCGGACACCGGAGTGAACATCAACTCCGAGATGTGGAGACATTCAACTAAATATACCAAAATAAAATACCTGTTTAGTGATTTAGTGGTGATCAAAATTGTAGTATGGCTTTTAGTTCTATTGGCTTGTCCAGGTGTACTGTGTTGATGTTAGGTGGTGGCTCTGCTAGCCTAGTGGTAAAGTTTCAGATTATGTTGCTGGTTGACTTGTGTTCGAATCTCATTAAGTGCCACATCGTTCCACGTACTCCTTGCTGAAAAACGACAATTACCACGAAACCTAGCTAGCTGTGGACTACCTCCCATCACTCTACATACTTTGTATTATTTCAAGTGTTGCTCTCCAACCCTTTTTTAGATGCGTTTTATGTCACTCACTTAATTATATTAACAGTTGACGTACACACATTAAACTTCATAAAAATCATGTATTACGATTCACAAAATAATTATGTATATATAAAAAATGTGATGTTATATCAAGTCCCCATTTAGTGAATGGCTACGTCATTTTTTTGACAACTGATTAATCAGTCGGTGGTGACTGATCAATGGTGAGTCCTACAAGAAGTCAGTTGAGGCCGGAAAGACTCAGTGTTAACGTCTCTGACTGTGAAGCTGAGTTATAAGAAGTCAAATCCGTCAGTCAACAGCATTTCCTTCAAGGTTATAAGTACACCTTACTGACCTGTGCCGAATAACACGAAACTGATATTCAGGGTATCCTTTCGACTACTCCCAATCATTACTTTACATCTCAAATTAGTTAAGTATTGAACTATTGAAATTACTAAGATCTCCACAAAACCCCTTCTAATAATAATCATCTACCCACCGGTGACTGAATTCAAGAAGAGTTTTCTGAAATTCTACTGAGAAGCCGTGACCAGTGGGGTTCAACCAGGTCTGTTGTAAGATATCAGCTCACTGGAGACAATGGTGTACGGTGGCCCAATCTCTTGGATTAGTTGAAACTAGACATTTACACCATTGGATACCGTCCGGCCCAGTAACCTAGTGGTTAAGCACCGATATGTCCTGGGTTCGAATCCCGCCAGGCGAGATCGTGGATACGCACTGCTGAGGAGTCCCACAATAGAACTAAACGGTCGTCCAGTGCTTCCAGGATTTACATAGTGGTCTAGCTTCATTTGACTCATGATTTTAACTACTGAAATTAAATAAGTATTGAACTTCTGTCCATGCTATTCTCCGTTAGAATTTAATACACAACTAACTCAGTTCAAGTAGGTAGAGTTGAATTTTAATTTGCATTTCACCTAATTGAATTATTCAATTCCTATCTATTATTGTGTTTTTATCTATGATGAATACGTAATGATAACTTGACTTCATTTAAACTAATATTCAATACAAGATGAACAGATAAGTGGCCATAACGTTTATTCACTTACCATATATCACTGACCTTCCCGAATGTATATATATAGCTAAGATTCTTAATGCACTGTCACTTAAATATGATGAAACTGAACACTTTGTATTTGTATCTATATGTGTACATGTTTGCATGTAATCACTTTTTGTTTTTTTAGGTCAACAATGTCAAGTGTTTTGTCAAGTTCACTAATTGTTTACATTTGAAAAACAGTTGCTTTTTTCTAGGTTTATTTTGAATTTATTGGTTTGTCAATTTAGTTTGTATTAAAATATGTCAGTTACATTGAAAATATTTGTCATGTTTAAATCTTTTTAGGGTTTTTTGTTGTTTTTGTTCTTTCAAGAATACTTTTTCCATTATCGGTAGTGCGCATCCACGACACCCCTTCGTGGGATTCGAACTCAGAACTCACCGGCTTCGTACGCGAGCACTTAACCACTAGACCATTGAGTTGGCTGGCATCCAATGGTGTTAATATCTAACTTCACGAAATTCCAGGTTTTCCATAGTGGTCTAGCTTCAATTTAGTCATGATCTCAACTACTGAAATTACTATAATCTCCACAAAACTCCTGATACTTTTTTCGATTAGTTCACTACATAACTATTCTGTTACATTTACTAGAAAGTAATAACAATTGGAAAATATATTAAGTTGTATGGTAGAAGTGTTTTAATTCATATCAGGTCGATATAGAGTTAGTACAATATTTAGCGTTTTTTTAGCGAGCTAGTTTTCTACGGGATGGGGTTGCTAATCCCATGCACAACCCTCTTCCTTTACCCAGGCATGGGACCAGCAGTAACTCTAGAAGAGCTACAGGTGGAATGTATCAGCAGCCTCTGCATCAGTAGGCCTCAACATGCAGAAAGGGAAAACTAAGGTCTTCAAATCCAACATGGAGAACACCAACCCATTCACACTTGATGGCGAAACTCTGGAAGGTGTGAAATCTTTCACGTACCTGGTCGGCTGTGTCATCGATGAACAAGGAGGATCAGATGCAGACGCAAAGGCGAGCATTGACAAAGAAAGGGCAGCATTCATACAATTGAAGAACATATGGAACTCAAAACAACTGTCAACCAATATCAAAGTCACAATCTTTAGTACGCACATCAAGACATTTCTACTGTACGGAGCTGAAAAATGGAGAACTACTACAACCATCATCAAAAATATATTATTTTTATTTATAACAATCAACAGAATGCTCAATTTATTCGAAATTGTCAAATCAAACCTTGTTAATGACACCTACATCATCAAAAATGTACAACTATTTATAAACAATTGTCTACACAAGATACTCAATGTCCGTTGGTCGGATACCATCAGCAACAGCATTCTGTGGGAGAGAACAAACCAGTTTCCGACTGAAGAGGAAATTAGGAAAAGACGATGGAAATGTCTAGGACATACATTAGGAAAGTCATCAAACTGCATCACGAGGCAAGCGCAAATTTGGAATCGTGAAGGGAAGTGGAAAAGATGAAGGCCAAAGAACGCATTACGTCGGGAAATGCAGTCAGATATGCAAAGGACGAATAAAAACTGTAAAGAGTTGGAAAGGATTGTCCAGGGCAGGATTGGATCGAGAGTGCTGGTGGGTGGCCTATGCTCCCCCTAGAGGAACAACGGGTGTAGTTAAGTAAGGGTATATTATTCGAAAAGACATAATTCTCAAATCGTGTTGATTGATTATTTGTCACGAAAATGTTAATAATATGAAGCATACGATTCAAACATAATTCATAGTTAGAGATGTTTGCATCGAAGTATACATAGTTATAACCACCAACCTTTAATAAGTAGTATACGAAGAATATACACTAGTAAAATGACATAGATAAAAACTCATGAGCGTTTTCAACTAATAGATTATAGGAAGTATCAAATAGTAATCACTATCTTCGTAGTAAAAGAACTGAAATATATTTGCAAATGAGGTTTTGTAGAGAAGAACGATTCCGGTCCTCATACAGCCTATTGATAATTATTATCCGATCATTATGAAATATGTGAGAACGTTCCCAACTTGATTCTATAAGATTGTGGTTAGGTGTTTAAAATTGTTGAACAATTAGATGATCACAAAACTAGCATTGATGCAGATTTTATTACCGTTTACGGGATCGATCACAATATCTGTTGGCTCTTCATTTCTAGCTCTTTAATACAAGTGTTTTATATTTCCTGGATATGAAATTTTAATCCTGTATTCAAAAAGAAATATATATCAAATCCTTGTGTATACCAACGTCTTGTACTATCGTGATTGTCAGTAGTCTTTTGGGTTACATATGATGTTTTAATTAAGTATATTCCTTTTTTTGGAGTGATACTCTTACCTATATAGTGATCATAGTAAGCTTTAAAACACTATACACATATCACAATTGATTGATCACTGGGTGGCGATCAGTGTCATTTGAGTTTAGTCCTTATTAGTGCAGATCGAATGCTATCGATCATGTTGAAATGTGGTCATCAGTCTAGGTGACTCGACACTACGGGCACTATATATTGAGACTAGATGGTGGTTGGAGGTAGTCGACAGGAAACCATGAACCCGGGTTTCGTGCTACTTGGCACTCGTCAGCAAGGTGTACCTGTAATCTCGAGGTAAATGGTGTTCCCTGGTGGATTCGATCTCGTGTCACCCAGCTTCACAGTTAGAGACGTTACCACTGAGCTTTCCGAGCCGCAACCGACCTCCTGCAGTGTCGAGTCATCTAGACTGGTGGCCATATTGCAACATGATCGATAGCATTCGATCTGCACTAATAAGGACTAGACTCGCATGACATTGATCGCCACCCAGTGATCAATCAATTGTGATTACATCTCAGTCCTGGGATAGCTCAGTGGTAACGTCTATGACTGTGAAGCTGGGTGACACGAGATCGAATCCACCAGGGAACACTAGTTACCTCGAGAATACAGGTACACCTTGCTAACGAGTGCCAAGTAGCACGAAACCCGGGTTCATGGTTTCCTGTCGACTACCTCCAACCACCGTATAATCTCACTATATACATATATATATTTAAATAAAGTTTATTGAAAAAAATATTGTTTGAGAAAGATCTTCTTACAAATGTTTTACTCTACATGTTTCACATAAGCCAACCAAAATAACACAGAATGAAATATTTGCTACATCATGAATTACGATAGTGTAAATAATAATTCCCGCTTCATTTTACTTGATATCTAGGTTCAAGGTCAACATTGCAAATGAGAATGGAGTTTATCCTTACCCTATTTTTGTAATTAAAAAAATGCTCTGTGGTTGTTCATTTACTTGTTTGTTTACACACTGCTGATGAGCACCATACTAGGACTAAATGACCATCTAGGGCTTCCAGATTTTCAATGGTGGTCTAGCTTAGATCTACTCATGAATTCAACTGTAAACATACTACAATCTCTAAAAATCCGCATACTGAACGAATAATTATTTGGAAAACTTTCCTCTTCATGAAAATAAATCATTCATGTGTTTTTCCCTCTTATGGTTGATGCAATTCATTCATATTTTATATGAAAATATAAAATCTGAAAAATATCCCAAAATTTGGGGGGAATTTCAACCACAACTTAATTTATTGTCATTCAACTAATTAATACTAACTTTTAAAGATCTTTGAAGGATTTTTCTCATGTGGTTGAAAGACTGAGTGAGTAACGCTTCAGCTAACCTTAGAATATTACTTAACAATATAAAGGCTATTAATGGGATTGTAAACACCCATGTATTGTGGTGTTTAGAAAAAGTATGACTTATGTGCAACCACCGCCTATCTATGGTTCGCTAACATAGAAGTGGATTGAAAAATATCAGGAGTGGTCATATTAAAAGATGTATTGTATTCATAAAGTCATTTATTGCTGATTAAATCTGGATGTCTTCAAGTTGTGTTCTATGCGATATTTGAAATCGCTGATTGGTGATACTGAGTGACATTGCATAACATTCATCACAGCTGCACACCTTTAATTTTCTTTCTTCCACTGAAAGGTAACTTACTTATTCAAAGAAATGAATTCCTAGAATCTGTTCATTATCCAATATCTGTAACAATCTGTTCATTTATGAATAATTCAATATAAAAATTCTACTGTTTTAAATCAATGTATATATTCACATTATATATTTAGAACTATATTTCTTATTTTCGTTATCTATCATATTATAGATTTGTGGTTTACAAATAAGCAATCAATTCAGTATTAAAAATCGTGTTATCGCTTCTCCACCATTGTCAATAGCCGCAGCACCGGGACTGATATTAGCTCATGGACATGTGGCAACACATTTGAAAAATACACCAGCCGATGTATTTGTCAGTTCTGATGGTGGATATACATGGCTTAAAGTAAGTAATATGATATGATAAAATGCCTGTTATCCGGATTTATTTGGTAATATTTAGTTCACTGTACGTTAATTATATTATGGGTTAAGATATCCTGTTTACAAGTAATGAAAATATAATGAACTAATCATAATATCTGCTTAGCTGAAAGTTTTTATTTAGCAAAACCCACTGAATGGTATTAGTTACCTACACTATTACAGATGTGCCGTACCGATAGATATCAATTTACATTAACTAAAATGAAGCTTAGTTTCCTGTCGGTTGCTGTCGCATTTGTGTGCATTATAAAAATGTGTCCACAGATAGTGAGATACTATAGCTATGGGGATCTTTTTTAACTTTTGAATCTAAACAACTGACTTATAATCTTTAACTTCGTTCCATCTACTTCAATCCAAGCAGTAAGGTGATACTGTTGGGTAAACAATGCTAAATTTAGATTCGAAGTGTTAGGTCAAGATTGAGGATGCGTTGGTTAAGTAGCGATTATTCAGCTAATGAGGTCATTGAAATCGCGTATTATGTATACCCAACTACTACCTACTTTTATGCGTTGTGCTAGCTCCAGTTGTAGTAGGTGTGCAAAGACCTAGGAGTAACCAGTCCAAGATTTATTATCAGTTCATGAAAACAACTGATAAACTGAAGCGTTTGATAGGTTCAAACTACTTGATTGGGAGCCTTGCAACTATTCTAAATGATTGTTGAAAATATTAGGAAACATATCTCGGAATCGGTCCAAGTGATTAGGATTGAGGTTGACAATTGATCTTTCGATTTTTAATTCCAGTCCACTTTTATACGTATTTTTCCATCGTAACTTTTCGAATGATATCCTCAGTGTTTAGTCTATCTTATTATTTTCGCAACTACCTTAATTCGATCTCTTTTTTATTCATCTTGTTATTTCTATCTAATAGTTCTAATGTGATGAGGTATGGCGACTTGGGCTAGTACACTCTTTGCCTGGCTATATATCGACAATATTTGTCTATCTTCCGCTGATAGATGTGCATTTTGTCTACATCACAAGATTATTTTAAGTTCAGAATGCATCCTTAATATTGTATATCAAATTAGATTGACTAATCACAACACTAATAGGGAAATAAAACTTTTAGATACATTGAAGTGTAACCAGAAACACGTATATATAGGTTCGAGTTGCTATATCCAATAGCTTGGCGAAATAAAACTGTCAGAGAAGATCTCAGTAATGAAGATATTAACAGCATCAGTGGGAATAAAAAAGTTATGAATCGGTGGAATAAAAAAAATGTACCAGGAACTATGAAATTTGGGATCTAAGAGAAGACACAGAGTGAATCCCCTTGCTCCACGGGGAAAGATTCTGACCTATCATACTCAATGTTTCTAACAGTTTGTTACGATAATCACACGGACCCCAACCAGGTGATTTGTCTCTATCAAAATACCTAACAGTCATTGAGTACATGGGATGATGGCGTCTTGAGTTGGTTGTTCTTAATTCTTTTTCAAACCACCTGTACACTAGCCGAATTCGCGCATCGAATCAGGTAGTGGTTGGGCATATATAAAATATAGATGAAGATTCATCTTACCACCAATAAATTTATGATCCCCAGTTAGTACCTTGAATTTACTCTTAGCATTGCTCACTCGGTGATCTCAACAAATGCGAGGAATGTTTTGAGAACATTTACGATTATATTCCAATAACATAGAATATCCGCTACTTTTAGTAAACACGTTTCTTTGCCATAAAGTAAGACATATTGAACTCCTGTGCAGTAAACGTGTCCTTTAGTTGGCTAAGGAATATATATCATACTCTACAAGTGACGAATGTTGGCAAAATTGAGACGGCCTTGATTAGTCAATTTACACAAGTTACATCTCTCCTTTAATATAATACTGATATTAAATGATTGTGTTTTTCAAATAAAGTTCTTAAAAGAAAATATTTTCAGTATGATGGTTATGGTAATTGTTAAATGTTATTGAGATCACGAACCAATTTAAGTTATACAGTTGTTGGAAACTTGGAATAACTGGAGTTTAACCGGGTCTCTTGTGAGATAATAACTCACTAGAGACAATGGTGGATATGTCGCTCAATTTCTTGGATTAATTGAAGTTAGACATTAACACCGTCGGATGTCGCTCGCAAGGGGCGAGGTCGTGGATGCTCACTGCTGAGGAGTTCCACAATAGGACGAAACGGCCGTCCACTGAAATTACTATAATATTCACAAAACCCATCTGATACTAATAATTTCGCCAATAAGATTGAATAAACTATGTTTTCTCTTGAAATTCTCGATAATATCCTTCATATCATACATTAATTTCGTATTATCATTAGTTTTTTTATGTCTAGTGATTTTCATTTTTATCTGATTATGTAATTTGTTTATAATGAGATTCGTATCCGCTTAATAAACCTCAATTTACTTTATCAGTATGGGAACATAGTTTTTAGACAATTAAATTTCTCACATGTATGTATGATAGAGATGTCATAGAAAAAAATCTATCGTTTTGAAATGTTTAAAGTCTATCAGTTACATAATCGAAACAAAAAAATGTGTAGTGTGGTATCGAGTCGCAGTTGACTATGATCACTACTACAAGAAGGTTGCGTACCAGATATCAGAAGGCGATTGTAAGTTGTAGCGATATATATTTTTTGGCGATTCCGTGGTATCGAAAGAATACCGAGATCGTTCAAAAAAAGTACAAGCGGAACTACTGAGCAAACGTAAGTCTGTGCAAGGTCACGATCAATGGAAGGAAAGGATATTTTTATTACAGATAAACAAACAAGTACAGTAAAACAATCACTGGTACAATTGGTTATAATAATAATTGTTTACATTAAATCAATCGCGTTCTCTTGATAAAAGTAGGTCACTACAAATGTATGGTTAATAATTAACGAACAAACATGTTTAGTATCACGAGGGGTTTTGTGGATATTATAGTAATTTTAATAGTTGAAATCATGAGTCAATCGAAGCCAGATTGATTGGGTTCGAATCTTGCGGGGGGATCGTGGATGCACACTGCTGAGGAGTCCCATACTATGACGAAACGGCCGTCCAGTGCTTCCAGGTTTTCCATAGTGGTCTAGCTTAAATTGACTCATGACTTCAACCAGTGAAAGATATTATAGTAATTTTAATAGTTGAAATCATGAGTCAATTAAAGTTAGACTGATAGATCCCAAGTTCGAATTTCGAGAGGTAGGATTGTGGATGAGCACTACAGATGAGTTTCATACTAGGAAAATCGGCCTTCCAGTGTTTCCAGGTTTTCCATGGTGGTCTAGCTTCAATTGATTTATGATCTCAACTATTAACATTAAATGTATGTTAATAGTTTAAAATACTTACTAACTTTAATTAGACAAACATTTCAAACTAAAGCTCATTGGATAAAGAATCACTGTAGCAATCAAACCGCAGTGCCTTCAGGGATTATAATAAGTGCATTATGGTTAAATTACTGATTCAAACACTAATAGTTCACATTCCTGATTTAATTAGATTCATAATAATGTACTGTTATCATTATTCTCACTCCCCGTTATCATAGATGATCCTTGTTTCATGTACGACATTATTTAACTGCATGGATCAAGATGACTTACTAGGATTGTATGAAATATTCTTTATGTATATGTGATTAGTTTGAAGATATGATATTCTTCGTTTAATAAATTTCATTTAAAAGAACATTTAGGATAGATTTTATGTGGTCTAATCGTAGATGAATTATTTTGATGGAGTTTCGTTCTCTGAGCTGGATGGTTTGGTCATTTAGCTTTCATCGTTTTTCTGAACGACATCATCAGCACAAACTTCAGAAGAACGATGAAAGCTGCACGACCAGATCATCCAGCTCAGAGAACGAAACTCCATCAAACTCATCCACCTGAGCTACAAATCTTCACCATCTCATAAATGAATTAATTATGTATTACGCAAGATTGAAAGTTTGCAATACTGCTTGTGTTTCTAAAGTTTTTAGTTTCTAATATGTGGATTACACACGTAAACTTATCATCTGATATTAAATGTTAAATTAAATATAGAATAATATATTTTCTAAAATTACCTTTCATTTTGAACTGAAAGGTAGTTGATAATACTTCTCTATTGATGGAGTGACTAGTTTTAGAATGGATTTTTAATGACTAGTGAATTTTCAACGTGTTGATAATGTGACAGATTTAACCGATCGTTGGAATTATGACATAAACCTGTCATAAATTCGTTTAGTGTTTCAAGTAGCTTAGTGGTAAAGTCTTGGACTATAAAGCTAATTTCGAATACCATACGGACCATTAGTTTTCCTGCTAATGTAGCTACACCTTTTCGACAAATGTCAACTAACATCAAACCTAGGCTTGTTCAAGGCTTCCTCCTGGCAACCTTCAATCACATAACAACCGAAATTCATTATTTTGAATGAAATTAAAATTGTTGGATTTTTTTCTTAGTTATCCGGGCTTCATGTACTCACCGTGAAATTTAGTCGTCTTGTATTCGATTACAGATGGAATCGTAAGTGTGTGCACTGTTCAGGACTTTTAAGACAATTAAATAACCGTTCAATAATCCTTTAGGTTTTAGTGCTATTCCATGACTTATGTTAATTTTTGACATGAAGAAATATATTCAAACTACTAAACACTGACAACTTTTACAAAAGAGCCTACTTAGCCAACAATCATCTTCCGTGATTTTTCATTCAAATCTATGTAAATTATTTGTAAGAGTAAATAAATAATATCTATTGATATATATATATATATATATATATATATATATATATATATATATACATCCAGACCGAGTTTTCTTCATATGACCTTTTAGTTTCGACAATTCTGTAGAGTAGGAATGCGGCTAGTACTAGTATTTAAAATGAACGTTTCGTTCGATTTACGACTTATCAGTTTAATGTCATTGAATCCCAGTACTCATTTGGAATCAGTAGCTTAGTGGATAGTGCATTGACTTTCAAAACAGGAATTTACTGGGTTAGAGTTCTATTGTAAAACCAATACTGTTATGAAGGTACATCCAGATAATTTTAATAGCCACCCATGATTATTCCATTCTCAACAACTAAATCAGCCATTCTATTTTGTTTTAATATTTCTTAATAACGCAAATATCTTCAAAGAATTGATCATCCAGCTGTCTAATCGTTTTTATGTACGGACTTTTCAGTATTAATTCCGCGAGTACATATGAACACTGAATATACATAATAATGCATTAGAAAGGTTATGATATTAGATTATGTAGTGAAATAATATCATTTGAAGATAATGTATGTACCAATAAAATACTACTTGCACTAAAACTAATGAAGTCATTCACCTCACTCTAAGCGTTCTCCTCGTATCCGAGTCATGTATGTGCACTGATATGGAATAGCGCAGTAGAGTAAAATAGCTATTTCGCACATTGTGGTTTTTGATTAAGCCTGTTTTTTGTTTAAACTATCTAGAAATCCTATCTTCAGCTTCCTAAGATATATATACCAGTTTGTTACTTGTTCTATCCACAAAATTCCATTCATTTGCTACTTAAAGATCAGTTTTACGAAGAACTTCTAAGTTCCACCGACTAAATTATTTCTTTCATTTTGTTTATTTATTCTGTAGGCACTTGATGGACCACATCATTATCAAATAGCTAATCGTGGAGGTTTAATTGTAGCTGTCCCAGCTGAAACTCTATGGCCAGATGTATTACGTTTCAGTACAGATGAAGGTAAATGTTGGCATACTATTCCTTTACGTACTGGACAATGGAGTATTAATGAGTCAAATCGATATCAAGTTAACAATAATGAAGATGATTCAATGAAAAGTCAAGCTCATCATGATGATATGTTGGATGATAGTGAAGAATCTCTGGATAAGATTAAATCAGCTTCAGTGAAAGTAACAGATATACCTTCTCCAACTGAAGGACAAAGGATTGTTTTTGATAAAAATACAATTCCTACTACCAGTGGATCAAGTTCGGATGCTGTCCCTCATACAACGACCACCACAACTACTATTACTACTTCTACTACTGTTAATTCCAGTACACTAAACAATATCAATAATGGTACTAATAATATTTCACATATGAGTAGTACTATGTCATCACCTATAAATCAAATGCATGCAGACAGTCATCATCAATTTCAAACCAATGATGACAAATGGTCATCTTCATCATCATCATCTTCTTCATCCCAGAGAACTGATGAAATAGTTGTGTTTACTGGATTAGTTACAGAACCAGGTGGTCGAGCTATGGCTGCTGCTGTGTACGGTTATGGTACAGCTACACAAAGATGGAGAGTAGCAGTAGTTGATTTTCGAACAAATGGAATGATCAAACGAAAATGTAAGTTAGCATTTATCTATTTGTGTTCGTTTTCTTTTAAAAAAGGTTGTTTCAAGTTTATGTGTAGTTCTCTCAATTTTCTACAACTATTCTTGTTTTAAAATAGACAATATACATACTATTTCATATTTTTCTATAAATTTGATTTTGAGATGGTGGAAAAGATTTGTAGCTAAAGTGGATGAGTTTGATGGAGTTTTATTCTCTGGGCTGGATGATTTGGTCGCGGAGCTTTCATCGTTCTTTTGAAGTTTGTGCTGATGATGTCGTTCAGAAAAACGATGAAAGCTAAACGACCAAACCATCTAGCTCAGAGAACAAACCTCCATCAAAATTTATAGATTTGATTGTTTAACAATAAAGTAACATCACTTAATGTAATACACTGATTCTCTTGTAATCTAGGATTCACATTAGTTGATATTCTTCAGAAAGGAATTGAACAATTTCTACCTATTAGTATAGTATTTATAGATTAGGGACATAACATTAGTATATTTCAGTATTGTCAATGTTCTTTGAAGAATGATAATATATTACACAGAAGTTTAGCGTATGTCAAAGAGAACATCGATCTGTGTTCTTGTATAAATCAAATCAAAAAAATCATTGCAAAGAAGTTTTCTGATCATGAAACTCTGAAAAAAAAGAATGAAAGAAATTACCAGAAGCTGAAAGGCAACTGAAATTTTCTGTACATCAAGGAACATTGAAGTTAAGTAATCTTTCTACACTTCATATGCTTTTCTCTTGTATTCAAGTTACCTTATAGATTTAGCCTCAAGCGTTTAGAGAACCGAATCTAGAGTACAATTAGAAAACCTATCAAAAATATTGTGCACCTTATGTTTAGGAGATGATACAATACTATAATCTATCGAATTGATAATTATGTAATTATTTGACATATTAGTTTTTTAATTATGAATTTTATTGTTGTCATTCTGTTTTTCAATCGCGTTTTTAGCGGAAGGTTTAAATTTTTCGTTTTCGTTTACAATAATTATTTTTACACCTCAATTGTTCTTCATCTCTCCTGTCTCATTGATTTATAATATGCCAACAAGGGGTCAATACTTATTGCTCCACTACGATACGTTCTATAGTATTGATCGGATCAAATGATTTATTTACAAACAGCCGTTCAATGTTTCCATGTTTTCCATGGTGGTCTAGCTTTAATTGACTCATGATCTCAACCATTGAAATTACTATAATGTTCACAAAACCCTCCTAATATTAATATTGTAATTCCCTATTTGTATGTATCATTAGATACATTCATATTTCAACAGTAAATTCATCATATTTCGATGAAGAAGACGACTTGAGTTCAACAACAATTGTAAACCAGGAAACATTAAACAGGATGAATAAACGACCAAGAAATTATCTTCAATTTGTTGATAACATATAAAATTTCTTATATAAGTTATTTAATTATTTATTACCAAATTAATCCATTTATGGTATTAATCTAGACTCAACAATCTCCACAACGCTATACTGATAATTATCATATGCTCACTAGTGACTAGCTTCAAAATGTATCTCCTGAAGTTCTATTAAGAAGCCATGACAAGTGGACTTCAATCATGTCTGTTGTGAGGTAGTTACTCAGTGACGACAATGATAGACGGTCACGAAGTATCGTGGATTATTTGAAATTAGAAAATTAACACCGTTGGATGCCGGTTCACTGGTCTGGAGGTTAAGCGTTTGCACGCGAAACCGAAGGTCCTGGGTCCGAGTCCCACATATGGGATCGTGGAACGCACGGCTGAAGATTCACATACTAGGACGAAACGGCCATCCAGTGTTATCTGGTCTTCAATGGTGGTCTAACATTGATCCATTTATGATATCGACAATCGCCAAGACGCTATACGGATCATTACCAAATTATCATTGTGAACTTTATTTTAGTCAAAATTTTATGACAAAACGTTTGTCAACGAAGATCATTGATCTGTTTTTACCATAAATAAAAAAACATAAGATGAACGACCTTTCGTCCGCTTGCTTTATTTCACATTAAAATATTTCGCAAATTCAAGTTAAAAATGTGAGACAGAATAGATAGGTTAAGATTCTGAATCGGAGACTGATTCGTTAGAAGTTGATTGATTTAATCAATAAAGCAACACCACACTATTCCATAAACATTACACTGAAATGAAAATCTCAATGCATCAGCCTTAATTTACACTAATTAAACAGTAAATGATGAAATCACTTGACTGATAAAGAATAATAACCTGAAACTAGATTTGAACTTGAGATCTATTGTTTAAGTTGGATCCATTAAAAGACTAAACACCGCACACTATTCCATAAACATTACGATTATAATGAAAATCTTAATACAAATAACTAACAACTAGATCATTAATCATACACATCATAAATATTATAATCATAATCATACAGTTAATTCATTTGTTTCCCTCTCTACAACTAGATATACAATGTCTAGTCAATTATTCAAATACACACACATACACACGCATTCAATTTTACCTCAAATTCAATTAATTACATTCATTAAGTTCGGTCAACAATGTTCTAACGTAATCAATCCATATCAGTGGTAAAGCTATACATACATCAATACAAATGATCTCAAACTCGAACATTCCATTTTCATCATTCATTATTGTAGGAATGTCTTTTATTCTCTCTCTCACTCACCTACTGTCTGTCCCTGTCTCCTGTTTACTTGCCCTATACTAATGGAATTATTTTTCAATTCTGAATATTCAATCATATGACAGATGATATACAGTTCATTTATTCATCAATGTTATAATCAAGTTAATCAGCAAATGAACAAATGTTGTACCACAGAATTCGTATCAAATCGCACTCTACTTTGATACATTGTAATAATAATAATAATAATAATAATAATAATAATAATAATAATAATAATAATAATAATAATAATAATAAGTGAACAATTAATTGAAATAGAAACCATAATATCAACAACAAAATCTCACTTTTAACAATCTGTATTTTGTCTAACTTAAAGTATCAAATTCATGGAAGTTTTTCGGTGCTAAGTATATGAGTGATTATGTGATTAAAGAAACTATTTTGGACTGAACATCTTTATCAGAAGGGGTTTGTGGAGATTTTAAAGATTTCACAGATTGAAATCATGAGTCGATTGAAGCTAGACCACCATGGAAAACCTGGAAGCACTGGACGGCCGTTTCGTCCTAGTATGGGATTCCTCAGCAGTGCGCATCCATGATCCCGCACCTCGCGAGATTCGAACCATTGAAACCCGGCTCAGTATTCTATTTGGTTAAGCGCCTGGCTCGAGGCTGATAGGTACTGGGTTCGAATCTCGTGGGGTGCGAAATCGTGGATGCGCACTGCTGAAGAGACCCATACTAAGCGTTCTTTGGCCTTCCTCTTTTCCTCTTCTCTTCACGATTCCAAATTTGCGCTTGCCTCGTGATGCAGTTTGATGATTTTCCTAATGTATGTCCTATCCATTTCCATCGTCCTTTTCTAATTTCCTCTTCAGCTGAAAGCTGTTTTGTTTTCTCCCACAAAAGGCTGTTGCTGATGGTATTCAGCCAACGGATATTGAGTATCTTGCATAGACAGCCATTTATAAATACTTGTACGTTCTTGATGATGGATGTAGTAGTTCTCCATTTCTCAGCTCCATACAGTAGAACTGTCTTGACGTTCGTATTGAAGATTGTGACTTTGATATTGGTTGAAATTTGTTTTGAATTTCATATGTTTTTCAATTGTATGAATGTGGCCCTTGATTTGCCGATCCTCGCTTTTACGTCTGCATTGGATTTTTCTTGCTCACCAATGATACAGCTGACCAGATACGTGAAGGATTCTACATCTTCCAGAGTTTCGCCATCAAGTGTGATTGGATTGTTCTCCGTGTTGTATTTGGGGACCTTGGTTTTACCCTTGAGTATGTTGAGGCCTATTGATGCAAAAACCGCTTCTCTCCTCATCCACACTTCCATATTTATGATCTATCATCTGTTGTATTATTGCTGTTAAACAATTGAGGACAGACTTTTAACTTGACAAAAATAATGTATAGAGGCAATAAAAAAATAGGCTTTCAATTCTCTTACCGATCGCTTAATTTTTAGACCTCTGGGTTGGAATCCAACAGTTTACATTTCTCAATTGGTGTTAATGAACAACTATATTCTAATATCAATATTTTTTTATATCTCTCTACTGTACTAAACCTGGACCTGTTGATTTATAATGTTACTTTTTTCAAGTAATAACACCGTTGGATACCAACTCAATGGTCTAGAGGATAAGCGTTCACGCGCGTGACTGAATGTCCTGGGTTCGAATCCCACGAAGGGGATCGTGGATACGCACTACTGAGCAGTCCGACAATAGGACGAAACGGCCGTCCAGTGTTTTCAGGTTTTCAATGGCGGTCTTAGATCAATCAGTTCATAATCTCAATCAAAAATTATATCTTTTAAAGTTTTCATACCTTTAAATCATTCATCACATGATACTTTTATACTAAAACTACCAGAAACCAATGAAAGATTTTTAAATCTTATTTTTTTCAGCTCATTAGGTTATGTGTTGTTGTTTTTGTTCACTGTTAAGTTATTATGATTTCATTCTTTTCAGTTTTAGTCAATAGTTAAACTCATTTATTCATTCATTCATTCATTTGTTTACTTTCAAGGATGATTTTCTGGTTCTTTGAATAAAAATATCCTTATGATAAGAGTAATTATCCTCAATAATAAATAACTGACTTATATAGTCTGGTTAGTTAGTTAGTTAGTTAGTTAATGTGGATGGTATGAGTTGTTGTGGGTAAATTGATTTTCTTCCCTTTTAACATTCTGGGTCTTTGTGTTGGATTGTCTTGCTTGTTTGTTTTTTTTAAAATTTTTTTATTCAATCAATTATTTTTCTTAGTTCACCTCGGGTATATGACCTTTATGTATATGTATAACATTATCTATCATCTT